ATGCGGTATAGGTGGGTTGGGGTACAGAGCAAAGTGGAAAGAGCATGAAAGGGTTAAATACGGGAAATGCAAGATAAGTAGGATAAAAAAACCTTTTTGTGTTTCACCGTACACTTTTTGATATTTTTTTGTTTTTTGTTATTTTTACGGGGCACAGGATTTCGACAGACAGACCGTACAGCATTCGCGCCATTGACTTCTATTCTAGGCCATGTCGCTCAGCGTCTCTAACCAACGACTATCCTCATCCCTTAAGCCTGAGCCTGGAAGGGGAGCTGCACCTACCGAAGCTGAAGCTGAAGCCAGCTTCTTCACGCCTCTAGCCTACACAACCTTTTGCGTAGGGCAAATTGGGCTGATATCGTGATTTTAGCAGGATATGAATGCTAGAGTAGGCCGGTTGACTTCGAGTGAAGCGCATCTGGTTGGTCCTTTCAGACTAGATTTCTGTCACTCGGAAACGGGGAACGGCTGCTAGCTTTGTGTTCCGACCACCGCCTGTTCCTCTCCAGTACGAACTTCAAACGCTCCAGCTGCCGGTACGCCACTTGGCATCCACCCTCCCCGAGTCAGCGACTAACGCGAATCGACCACATCGTTATAACCTACAAATGGCGGAGTTGCACTCAAGACTGCCGATCTTACTGGAGCACTACCCTCGAATCCGATCACGCATTAGTTTGCACCAAGCTGTCCATGTGCTTCGATGGACGTCTCAAGCGCACGACACAATGATGGTTAGACTGTGATAAGCTGGTCTATCTTCCCAAACGCACTAGCTGCAAAGCTAGTACCAACCCCACCCGATGACGTTAACCAGCATTGGTTGCTTATCAAGAGTGCTGTGCTGGCTTAGTTAGTTGTGGCCTGACACGCCATGTCGTGACACCCTGGATTTCCGCTGGGTCTCTGCGCCTTATTACGCACGTGGGTCTATTCCGACCGGCAGCGAGCACAACAAAATACGACTCGTAACGAGACGTGAACTTAATGCAAGTAGTAGACTCAATGCGCGTCACAGATGGAACGTGCTGCAGCCACGGGTAATTCCCGTAAGCTGCTCCATCTCATCCGGGTCACCGGCAGGAAAGCCTTGGGTGTGAGCGAAACGATCTGCGAAGCTGACGGCTCGCCCATTCATAGTCAACAGCGATGCCTTGCACGCTGGGCGGAGCACTTCAAAGCACAATTTAGCTGGTCACCCGCGCCAGCTTCTCACAGCTATTCCGGCACGCGTCTCATGGTCTGTCTCAACAGACCCATCTTCTGAGGCGGAAATCCGTAAGGAGATCCAAGCCTTGGGACATCACAAAGCACCGGGCTTTGATGGCCTTTTCCTAGCCCTGTTTAAAGACGGTGGAATTAAGCTTGTTAGAGAACTACCAGTTCTGTTCTCTAAAGTTTGGAACACTGAGCAGATCCCCTCCTCGTGGGGGGAATCGGTTATTGTCCCCATCTTCAAAAAGGGCCCGCGCAATGACTGCGCCAATCATAGGGGTATAAGCCTGATCCCGATAGCGTCAAGCTGTTGGCGTCCGTCATTCTCCGCCGATTGTACAAAATGCGCGATGAACATGCCCGTGAAGAGCAGGCTGGGTTTCGTGCCGGTCGTGAATGCATCAACAGTGGCTCGAGCACCGTCATGCTTACCTTAGACCAACGATCATTGTGTTCTTAGACATTCGCGCGGCCTTCGATTCTGTTGATAGGACCGCACAATGGAGCTGTTTGTTGAAAAATGGAGTACCTGAGAAGTATGTGTTGATCCTGAAAGAGTTGTATCACCATACCCCAGGTCGGGTTAGGGTTTATGGATAGCTTTCATCATGCTTCGACAAGGCTGCCCTATATCCCCATTTCTTTTCAACTTCGCCATAGAGGATGTTCTGCTTTGTCCGGTCTAGCAGACGGGGGAGTCGAACTCCTACCAGGGAACAGAGTTCTTGACTAAGAATATACCGATGAGATCGCCTTGTTGGGTGACAATACACAGGCAGTCCAACAAGCCTTACACCACTTGGTGATAGAGGTATCCAGGTATGGTGTGCTTTGCACCATCAAAGTGCTTGTTCAAGACAGGCAGGAGCCTGTGCCTGCACTCACCCTCTGTGATGATCAGCTGGAAGGAGTTGAGAGCTTTAATTACTTCGGGAGCTTGATCGCAGCTGGAGATGGGGTTGAGGAAGAGATCACATCACGAATAGCTAGAGCAGCTTTCGTCAACCTGCGACACCTGTAGCGCCGCCGTAACATCCGACTGTCCCTTAAAGGAAAGGATGTACATCACCGCTGTTCGTAGCGTTCTCCTTTACGGTTGCGAGACCTGGCCCCTCCACTTTGAGGATGCTAATCGACTTTCTGTACTTGACCATCGATGTATCCGAAGCATTACTCGTGTCTGATGGGAACACCGGGTGAGTAATTACTAGGTTCGTCGTCGTGTGTTGGGTGCGAATAGTCGTTCTCTAACGAAAGTAATTGCTGTGCACGTATTGCGTATGCCTGCCTATCGACTACCTTTCCGTGTCGAGCAAGTCCGGAATAAGCGTCATGACTTGGGCTAGAGTCGTGAAGAAGCTGGCTTCGGTAGGTGCAGCTCGCCTTCCAGGCCGGGGCCTAAGGGATGAGGATTGCCGATGGCTGGAGACACTGGGCGATATGGCTCAGAATAGATGTCAGTGGCGCGGTTTGGTTGGTGAAACCCCGTTCCCCGTAACACAAAAATCTTCAAAAAGTGTAACTTGAAACTACAAAGGAATTCCTTCATTCTTACATTCGTTCTCCATGTTCTCCTTTTCCCCACTTTCATCTAATTTTTCTATACCCCTCCATAACTTCATTATAATTGTTTTGTATTGGCACC